GCGAGGTTTAATTTGAATCCGCCCGTGGCGTCGCTGCGCTGGGCCCCCCAGCAGGCCTCGAAAGCGGCGACAGTTTCGCAGATCGCAGCCCCCCAGGGATGGCGATGTCTAATTTGAATCCGCCCGTGGCGTCCATGTGCTGGGCCCCCCAGCAGGCCTCGAAAGTGGCGACAGTTTCGCAGATCGCAGCCCCCCCAGAAATGGCGAGGTCTGGTTTGAATCCGCCCGTGGCGTCACTGTGCTGGCCCCCCCGGCAGGCTTCGAAAGTGGCGACAGTTTCACATATCGCAGCCCCCCAGGGATGGCGATGTCTAATTTGAATCCGCCCGTGGTGTCTCTGTGCTGGGCCCCTTGCAGGCTTCGAAAGTGGCGACAGTTTCACAGATCGCAGCCCCCCAGGGATGGCGAGGTCTGGTTTGAATCCGCGCGTGGCGCCGCTGTGCTGGGCCCCCCAGCAGGCCTCGAAAGTGGCGACAGTTTCACAGATCGCAGCCCCCCAGGGATGGCGAGGTTTAATTTGAATCCGCGCGTCGGCGTCACTGCGCTGGGCCCCCCAGCAGGCTTCGAAAGTGGCGACACTTTCACAGATCGCAGCCCCCCCCCCAGGGATGGCGAGGTCTGATTTGAATCTGCGCGCCGCCCTCACTGTGCTGGGCCCCCCAGCAGGCCTCCAAAATGGCGACAGTTTCACAGATCGCATCCCCCCCAGGGATGGCGATGTCTGATTTGAATCTGCGCGCCGCCCTCACTGCGCTGAGCCCCGCAGCAGGCATCGAAAATGGCGACAGTTTCACCGATCGCAGCCCTCAAGGGATGGCGAGGTTTAATTTGAATTTGCGCGCCGCCTTCACTGTGCTGGGCCCCCCAGCAGGCCTCGAAAATGGCGACAGTTTCACAGATCGCAGCCCCCCCCCCAGGGATGGCGATGTCTAATTTAAATCTGCGCGTCGCCCTCACTGTGCTGAGCCCCCCAGCAGGCCTCGAACATGGCGACGGTTTCGCAGATCGCAGCCCCCCCAGGGATGGCGAGGTCTAATTTGAATCAGCGCGTCGCCCTCACTGTACCGAGCCCCCCAGCAGGCCTCGAAAATGGCGTCAGTTTCACAGATCGCAGCCCCCCCAGGGGCGGCGAGGTTTAATTTGAATTTGCGCGTCGCCCTCACTGTGCTGGCCCCCCCCCCAGCAGGCTTTGAAAATGGCGGCAGTTTCACACATCGCACCCCCCCCCAGGGACGGCGAGGTTTAATTTGAATCTGCGCGTCGCCCTCACTTTGCTGGGCCTCCCAGCAGGCCTCGAAAATGGCGACAGTTTCGCAGATCGCAGCCCCCCGCAGGCAAGACAGGACGAGGCAGGGAGGGAGGGAGGAGGAGGATGGAGGAAGGTGTGGAGACCACACTGCTCTATTCAAAACGAACACCCAACCAAGGAGGGTTAGGACAAAATACCCTGGCGACGTACCCAACCCCTGCGCAAACGCGTGGCGCAAATAGTTTAGGACACCCTATAACGGGGGCGATGACGGAACGAGGGTTACAAATGTCTGCAGACGGAATTCGGGGCACTCGCGGGACATTGGCTACAGGACAAGGACTAGATAAAGTTGATTAGTTACAATCCCTCAGCAACCCTAGCCATTTCGAAGGGGGGATCTCGGATCGCAGCCCCCCCAGGGATGGCGAGGTCTAATTTGAATCTGCGCGGGGCCCTCACTTTGCTGGGCCCCCCAGCAGGCCTCGAAAATGGCGACAGTTTCACAGATCGCAGCCCCTTCCAGGGATGGCGAGGTCTAATTTGAATCTGCGTGTGGCGTCACTGTGCTGGCAGGCCCCGAAAGTGGCGACAGTTTCACATATCGCAGCCCCCAGGGATGGCGAGGTCTAATTTGAGCCCGCGGTGGGTACCCACTGTGCTGGGCCCCCCATCAGGGTTCGAACGTGGCGACAGTTTCAAAGATCGCAGCCCCCCAGGGATGGCGAGGTCTAATTTGAATCTGCGGTGAGTACCCACTGTGCTGGGCCCCCCAGCAGGCCTCGAACGTGGCGACAGTTTACAGATCGCAGCCCCCCCAGGGATGGCGAGGTCTAATTTGAGCCCGCGGTGGGTACCCACTGTGCTGGGCCCCGCAGCAGGCTTCGAAAAAGGCGACAGTTTACAGATCGCAGCCCCCTCCAGGGATGGCGAGGTCTAATTTGAATCTGCGTGTGGCGTCACTGTGCTGGCAGGCCCCGAAAGTGGCGACAGTTTCACATATCGCAGCCCCCAGGGATGGCGAGGTCTAATTTGAGCCCGCGGTGGGTACCCACTGTGCTGGGCCCCCCAGCAGGCTTCGAAAGTGGCGACAGTTTCAAAGATCGCAGCCCCCCAGGGATGGCGAGGTCTAATTTGAGCCCGCGGTGAGTGCCCATTGTGCTGGGCCCCCTAGCAGGCTTCGAAAGTGGCGACAGTTTCACAGATCGCAGCCCCCCCAAGGATGGCGAGGTCTAATTTGAGCCCGCGGTGGGTACCCACTGTGCTGGGCCCCGCAGCAGGCTTCGAAAGTGGCGACAGTTTACAGATCGCAGCCCCCCAGGGATGGCGAGGTCTACCTTGAGTCCGCGATGAGTACCCACTGCGCGGGGCCCCCGAGCAGGCCTCGAAAATGGCGACAGTTTGCGATAGTTTCACAGATCGCAGCCCCCCTGGGGATGGCGAGGTCTAATTTGAATCTGCGCGGGGCCCTCACTTTGCTGGGCCCCCCAGCAGGCCTCGAAAATGGCGACAGTTTCACAAATCGCAGCCCCCCCCAGGGATGGCGAGGTCTAATTTGAATCTGCGCGGGGCCCTCACTTTGCTGGGCCCCCCAGCAACTTTCGAAAATGGCGACAATTTCACAGATCGCAGCCCCCCCAAGGATGGCGAGGTCTAATTTGAATCTGCGCGGGGCCCTGACTTTGCTGGGCCCCCCAGCAGGCCTCGAAAATGGCGACAGTTTCACAGATCGCAGCCCCCCAGGGATGGCGAGCTGTAATGTGAATCTGCGCGGGGCCCTCACTTTGCTGGGCCCCCCAGCAGGCCTCGAAAATGGCGACAGTTTCACAGATCGCAGCCCCCCGCAGGCAAGACAGGAAGAGGCAGGGAGGGAGGAGGAGGAAGGAAGGAAAGAGTGGAGACCACACTGCTCTATTCAAAACGAATACCCAACCAAGGAGGGTTGGGAAAAAGAAATATATCCGTAAGGGCTTCGCCCCCTGCCGCCGGCCCCCTCTCTCGGAGCATGGGCCATGGAAGAGCTAAGTCATGAGGCTTTGGCGCTGTCGTGCAGCAGTATCGGAACTTCATGCGAGGCCGATTCGCAATCGGCAAAACCAACTGATCACAAGAGGGGTTACCACACAGGGCGATTGGTAAGACGTGTATGGTTTACGAGCTTGGTTACCACACCCTGGGATTAAAGGGCCGGGGGAGTACTCGCAGTTTGGGTTACCACGCCTTGCGATGGATGTGCGTGAGGGGTGGCACCGAATTTCAGAAATGTGGCAAATCCCCTGTGTTTTTGGACCCTGACCCCGCGGATCTGCGTGAGGGGTGGCACCGAATGTCAGAAATGTTGCAAATCCAATGTGTTTTTGGACCCTGACCCCGCGGATCTGCGTGAGGGGTGGCACCGAATTTCAGAAATGTGGCAAATCCCCTGTGTTTTTGGACCCTGACCCCGCGGATCTGCGTGAGGGGTGGCACCGAATTTCAGAAATGTGGCAAATCCCATGTGTTTTTGGACCCTGACCCCGCGGATCTGCGTGAGGGGTGGCACCGAATTTCAGAAATGTGGCAAATCCCATGTGTTTTTGGACCCTGACCCCGCGGATCTGCGTGAGGGGTGTCGATTTCGAGCCCCCCCAGCAATTCAGACAACGCGCCCAGGGGGTGCTAAAAAGCCGGTTTGGGCCTCCTCCCCCCTCGCGCGGTCAATCAACTAGTTACAGTAACCAGCAATAAGTCAACTAGTTACAGTAACCAGCAAGAAGCAGAACTGTAACACTGGAAACTACAACCTACGACTGGTATCACGGGCCTACAGCCTGGTGGCCCCACAAGGGGGCCGGCGGATATACATATATATATATATATATATACATATAGAGAAGGAGGGAGAAAGAGAGAGAGAGAGAGAGACAGAGACAGAGACAGAGACAGAGACAAAGACAGAGACAGAGACAGAAAAATAGAAACGAGAGAGAGAGAGCGAGAGAAACAGAGACAGAGACAGAGTGAGAGGGAGAGAGGGAGAGAGGGACAGACAGTCACACACACAGGCATAGACCACTAGACACACAGCGAAAGAAGTTGAAAAGGCAGAGAAGACGAAAAATACAACCCCGAACACTAGCAGTGCTAACCAGCAGAAGACCTGGACCTGTGATCGCAATACTGCGAACAGCCGGAGCAATAATGACAACAAGAAGACCAGTTGCTTTTCCCATCCAATTCCGCGGCGATGGCCGCCTTGCGGGGTCTGGGTGGCGCCCCCGGGGGCCAGCATGCGGGGGCCCCCCCCTGGCGGGGGCCCTCGGCGGCACTTCGTCAGGCGAGCGCAAACCTGGGTCGAGGGGGCGAGGATTAGCGACGGGTCCCGCTGCCCTGGGAAGCCGCGGACTTCCGCCGCCGAGCGAGGCGGCACCGGCCGCACTCTGGAGACGGCGCCCCCCCCGATTCGTGGATTTGGCGACCGCGCGCCACATCCGTGGATCGCTAATCTTAAGTCGGGCGTGTCTCCCTACCGCGGGATTTTCGACGACAAATTAACAATACCCTGGAAATAGTCAAAACATAATCCAAAAATAGTCCGGGGACTATTTCTTGAATATTGTTTGACCTTCTTGGGGCATTTTTGGGGGTTCTCTTGATTTTTCTTCGAAAATCCCGTTGTATGGGGGACAGGCCCGACCTAACGCTAATCCGTGCGTGCGCGCCTCCGACTTCGGGCGGTCGGGTCGGCCGCCCGTCCCCGCGGGGCCTGCAGGCGCCTCCGCGGCGCCGCCGCGCGGCCCCGCCGCTGCCGCGCCGGAGGGGGCGGCCGAGGCCCCCCTCCCGCGCGCCGGGGCCGAGCCGCTCCTGCTCCTCCTCCTTCTCTGCTTTTTCTTCTCCTTCTCCTCCTTCCACCCCCCTCCTCCTCTGCCTCCTCCCCTTCGCCTCTTCTGCCTCTTCCCTCCTCCTCCTCCTCCTCCTCCTCCTCCTCCTCCTTCTGCTCCTCCTCCTCCCCTTCTTTCTCCTCCTTCTCCTCCTTCTCCTTCTCTTTCGCCGCCGCTGGCGGGGGGCCGTGGGAGGCGGAGGGGGAAGTCGGGCCCGTCCCTCTAGAGGAGGAGTATCCAAAAATAGTAGAAACAAAATAGTCTGGGGACTATTTGTTGAGCATTGAGCATCTTATGAGTTGCCCCTGTCGGGGGACACGCCCGACTTAAGCGGAGGGTCGAAGAATGGAGCGTTGATGCGGGGCTGTCGGCGGGGGTGACGCCCCCCCGACGCGTGTTACAGAGCTCGGAGGAGGGGTGCCTCTTCCTCCTCTGACCTGGCGGCCTCTCCGATCCTCGCCTCTCGCGCGCCCACTGGCCGAGCCGCGGGCGGGGGGCTGCGGGAGGCGGAGGGTCGAAGACTGGAGGGTCGAGGATCGGAGAGGCTGCCGGGTCTCAGTATCGTTTAACCGACCCCCATCCCCATCGCCCCCATCCCCTTCGAGACCCCCACCAAATTCCCCCCCCCCAGTTGGGGATAGACCCCTCGAAACCCGAAGGGAACGGCATAAATCCCCGTCTAGGGGGGTAAATCGACCATTGGGGCCCAGGCCACACCGCTGAGGATAGGGATCGGAGAGGCCGCCAGGTCAGAGGAGGAAGAGATACCCCTACTCCGAGTTTTGCAACAAGCGTCGGGGGTGCGTCACCCCAGCCGACAGCCCCGCATCGACCCCCGTCGCGTGCAGCCACCGCGCGCCGAAGGCGCTCCGACCCCCGTCGCGGCGCGACGACGATGCGAGGTTGACCCCCGTCGGGGGGGGGGGGTAATCCCTGGTGCTTATTAAGAAACTCATAGTAAGAAGCCCAGAGTACTCATACCCTGCCCCCGTGTTGCCCTGCCCCTATTGGGGGCTCCTGCAGGGCCATCGTCGCCACCGCTGGACTCGCCTCGACACGCTGGTCAGAACGCACCCTGAGAGAGGTGCGGGGAGCAGCGGGGTCTGCCGGATAGGGACGAGGCTGCGTGAGAGATGGTTCATGATATCCTCCAAAGGGCCTCTCGTCGTCGCCGCGCTGGATTCTCCTCGAGCGTCTGGCCAGAGCGCTCTCATGAGCAGGTCAGGGATCGCATTATGATGCTGAGTTCTTCGGCCCGCTTATGACGCGATGCGTTATGACGTTATCTGTCTCTGGTGGCCCTTGAGTGCCCGGCCAACTGGGACCGTAACAAAACTTAGAATCCCGAAAACCCCAGTTCCAGGAAATACGTCGGGATCTCCGGGGATCCACGGTGTGAAAATTAGGGCCCTACCATATGCAGTTGCGAGTACCGCATTGTGGGTACTGCTTTCGGTGGAGCTCCTTGTGGGGCCACCAATCGCGTAAGGGGTGTGCCAAAATGGGTAGCAGTCCCCGCATGCGGCCTGTGCCGCTGGGGCCTTCGGTGGAGCTCCCTGTGGGGCCACGAACCGTGTGAGGGGTGTGCCCAAATGGGTGGCGGTCCCGGCATGCGGCCTGTGCCACTGGGGCCTTCGGTGGAGCTCCCTGTGGGGCCACGAAGCGCGTGAGGGGTGTGCCAAAATGGGCGTGGTCCCCGCGTGCGGCCCGTGCCCCTGGGGCCTTCGGTTGAGCTCCCTGTGGGGCCACGAACGGTGTGAGGGGTGTGCCAAAATGGGTGGGATGATGCTGATGGTGACGATGAGGAGGGGGGGGAGGGGGGAGGGGGCAGCGGGAGGAGGAGGAGGAGGAGGAGGAGGAGGAGGAGGAGGAGGAGGAGGAGGAGGTGACGCGGGGCGCTGTCTCTTCAAAACGAGGACCCAACACCACATGATGGTAGGGAAAATGTTGCCGCCAGGGGGTCCAGGACCTTTGTGGGCCCCGGAAGCGGCAGGGCCTTTTTTTCACCGTTTCCCCAAAAATGTCCCTTGAAAATGGAAACGGCAAAAAAACGGCGACTGGAACCAGCAAAAAAAACGGTTCCAGGATTGGAACTGGAGTTGGAACCGGTCAAGAAACGGCGACGGAACCGGTAATCAAACGGCGTCGGAACCGCCAAAGAAACGAGAAAACGGAACCGGTAAAAAAACGGCCCTGTCGTTTCCAGGGCCCAGGAGCCAGGGATCGACAAGGAATCACGACAACCCCAGTCCCAGGGACCTCCAGGGATCCACGGCGAGGAAAAGCACGGCGCCGCCAGGAGTCCGGGATCGAAGGTCGAAGGGCAAGGATCGGGGATGGAGGATGCCTCGCGTGAGCGTGCCCCAGGATCGAGGGTGACAGATCGAGGAGGAGCCTCCTCCTCCTCGATGCTCTGATCGAGGAGGAGGAGGAGCCTCCTCCTCCTCGATTCTCTGATCGCGTGCCCGAGGATCGAGGATGACAGATCGAGGAGGAGCCTCCTCCTCGATGTCCTGATCGAGGAGGAGGAGGAGGAGGAGGAGGAGGAGGAGGAGGAGGAGGAGGAGGAGGAGGAGGAGGAGCCCTCCCCATCCCCCCTCCGAGGAAGTGGGGAGCACATCGAGACGAGGCAGGGCGGAAGGGGAGGAGGAAGAAGGGAGGGAGGGAGGGAGGGAGAGGGCCCTCTGGGCGCCTGGCTGGGCCGCGGCTGCTGAGCGCTGGCGGCGTGCTGGGCGGCAGGGGGAGCGTGATGGCGAGGCGGCAGGGCAGGCGGTACGCACGGCGGTGAGCTCTCCTGGTGGGGAAGGGGGGGAAGGGGGGGGGGGGGGGAAAGGGAGGAGGGGGAGACGAGAGAGGGAGTAGGCAGGTGGAGAGGGAGGGAGGGAGGGAGGGAGGGACCTCGCGCGCGCGCGCCCCCGTCGGCGCGCCCACGCGCCGAGCCTCCCTGGGGTCAGGCGCTCCTCGCGGGCCGGAGTCGTGTCTGTACTCCTGTCGGCTACAATGGCCCCCTTCGCCAGAGCGGCCCCTTGGCGCGCAGCTTTTGGGGGGGCGCAGGGAGGGGCCAGGCACAAGTCGAGCAGGGGGATATCGACCAGAGGGGTGATTTGCCCCACAATCGATTTGTCCGTCGAGGCTGTTGGCAACTACGCAGGGTGCTCCGCGGATCTGCGGAGCGTTCGACGTGCTTCTCACAGACTCGAAGAACAAATCAATTCTGGGGTAATCCAATTCTCTAATCGATCCCCTACTCGAACAAGCACGCAGCCCGCTGCTGTCGCACCGCATGCAGCGATCCTCAAGCCGCGCACCGAAGGTCAATCTTGCTCAGGGCCAGTCCTGCGTCACTGCTGGGCCACGTCTTGCATGGTGCGTGGCCGATGCTGGGCCAACGCTGTACGGTGCATGGTGGCATTGTGCCCGTGCCACGCACAAAGCGTCTTCATGGCATCGCATATCCATTGAGATCGCCGGACGGACTACAGATCGCGAGGGCACGGATATGCCCATATGCCAGTCCATCGTGAGTTCGGAGTAGGATGGGGAGGAGGAGGAGGAGGAGGAGGAGGAGGTGGAGGAGGAGGAGGAGGAAGAGGAGGAGGAGGAGGCGGAGGAGGGGGAGGAAGGGAGGGCAGGAGGGACTGAGGGTCGACGGTCGGGATCAGTGGGCATTCTTGTTTCTGTTTGCGGCCTACATGCGCTTCCAGGGACCTCCCATTCACTGATCTCTGGCGACCTCTGGAGTCCCAGACAGGGTGCTGAGGATCGAGGATCGAGGATGGTTGAGGAGGAGAGGGAGGGGCGGGGTGGTTATTTGCGTCACCCCCGTGGGCTGTGGCTTCCGCTTTGCTGGCCGCCCCGCCCAGTAGGGAGCCCGCGAAGTTGCTGGAATCGACGCGCCGCTTATCAGAGAGCTCGTTTTTTAGTCGATTTGGAAGTCACCCTGCGGCTTGCCAAACCAATCCGACACGTTTGGCAATACCAAGGGACACGAACTTGTTGTGAAGTTCTTGGCTTTTCGAGCATCCGGCGTAGATCTACCATCCCAACCCAGATCCCGCAACGAACCTCGGGCGAGCAGTGGGGTCATGGGCCGGTTGAGCATTTGAGAAGCAAGGGGGTGAAGGCGTGAAGGTGTCTGTCAATGCGAATTTGTGGTCAGCCCGAGCAGACGACAACCATGGTTGTTCTTGACGCTTCGCGTATGCCTATCCGTCGTGGGGCACGTCACTTCGCATCACCCGCGGCATCCCGTGGGTTCCTGCCCCTGCGGTCGGCTGAAATAACCCCACCCAGGTGCTTTGCCCGCGTTGAGTACGGGCCGTGGTGCAGAGGCTACTGGCTGAAGGCCCCTCCTCGTGCTTCACCATTTGAAGTCCTGCTGTGTGCAAGTGGCTTCCCCCATCATCGAGGTCGGGGTTGATCATCTTCATGATGACGAGTACGCACAGAGTGCCATGTGAATGAGTCCGCCGCGTTCTAGGCCTCCTGTGCTCCGTTCCGCTTCTTTTTCTTTTCCCCTGTGCTGCGCCTCTCGTGGCTGCTAGGGTACAGGTTCTGCGTCCGTTGCTGCTCCGTTTGCCTGTGCAGTGCCTCCAGGTACTCTTGGTCCGCTGGCATCTGCCCAGTGGTCCCTGCGTGCGTTCCGCCCCGGGCGGTGGGCCGCGTAGCTTCCGCCTGCGCCCTCTGCCGCTCTGCCCTCTGTCCCTTGGCCACTGGTCAGGTTCCCCACCTGTGGGCCTGGCTTGTGCCCGTCTGTTGTCCATCCGTGGCAGCTTCTCTTCCGCTGGCATCCGCCCAGTGGTCTTTGCATGGTAATCATTTGGCTTTGCGCCCCATTGCCTCATTCCGCCCTCTGGACTTTTCCTTGCGGGCCGCAAAAAAAAGGAAACATGCCTACCCGAGTGTAGTTCGCTTCTGCGTGCTTCGGGCTCAATTTAGATCGTGGCTCTGTTGCTTCGCTCTGACGGCGCCTGGCACACCTGCGTGCTCGCGAGCACTCGCACTCGTCAGAGCAACAACACATGTTTGCGTCGATGTGATGGATCGTGATGCCCCCGAAAGCGGATCCAGGCCATTTGAAAGTAGTTGCTATTTCTTGCGAGTCGTTGAACGCGCTTGTCCAAGATCTACCAGCCCATCCTGCGCTGATCGGGTGGTGTTCTAGAAGTGCCCCTGGCCCAGGGTGCCCCCAGGACTTCCAAGGCGGCACCCTGGGCTTCCAGAGCATCCCTCACGAGGCCCAGCGGGCCCGAGGGGCCCCAACGTTGGGCGAAAAACTGGGGGCACCTTGGGCCAGGGGCACCTTCCTGGCACCCTCCGAACTCATCGGGGAAGTGCCGACGGCGGCGCTGACGGCGGCGGCGGCGGCGACCTCTTTCCGGAGGGTGCTCGGCCTGCGCGGGCCCAGGCGCCCAGCGCCCGCGGCCCCACCGCGCCCGCGGCCGCCCAGGCGTGTGTGGGGGGGGTGGGCCAGTGTCCGGCAGGGGCAACGCAAGGTCGATAATGATTAGTAGGTCGAGCCTTCCACGTCCAAGAGTTCCCTCGTGTCCTGCGTATCGCGACCCATGTCTTCTACATTCCTGTGGCAATCGGGACATGGGAAAGGTCTCGTGTCCTCCTCGTGCGTCCTCTCTCTCCAGTCAACGCCGACTGCAGGTGGAATCAGGTGGAATCACGCTCTTGGAATCGAGGTTCGTGTGTATCGGGCGTTCTCGTCGGTTCTCGGCGGTTTCTCAGCCTCGGGGTGCCTTCCAGCGGGGGTGGGGGGTGGGCGGCGCCGGGGCGCTGGGGAAGCGGCGTCGAGGATCAGGCTGGGAGGGGGAAGCGAAAGAGAGAGAGAGAGAGAAACAAAAAAAAGAGGGAAGGGTGAGGGAGGGCGGGCGAGAGAGGAAGGGAAGACTGAGAGAGGAAGGGAGGGCGAGAGAGGAGGGTGGCGGTGGGCTGAGAGGGTGGGGGGCCTGGGAGGGTGGGGGGGGCTGGGAGGGCGAAAGGGAGGGAGGTCTGGGATGGGGGAAGGGGGGGGGGGAGGGCGAGCGCGGATAAGCTGCAAGGAACTGCCTGGGAACTTTCTGGCCGCCACAGTCCGCGCGGCATGAGGAGGAGGAGGAGGAGGAGGAGGAGGAGGAGGAGGAGGAGGAGGAGGAGGAGGAGAGGAAGTGGAGGAGAAAGAGCGAGGAAAACGAAGACAACAGGAGCAGTGAGGGAAGGAGGGGGAGAAGTATGGGGCCCTCCGCCCCTCCCGGGCGCCGCTGCTGCCGGGCACCGCCGGCCCGCTGCCCGGGGAGGCGGCCCCGGAGACCCCGCTGGAGCCGCAGCGGGACGGCGGCGGAGGCGGAGGCGCCCCCCCCCCTGCGGGCAGCGTGCTCTGGTCGGAGGGACCGGGGGTCCTGCCAAACCATGACTCCCTGGAGTCCTGAGGAAAGCACGGCGGAATGTTTTGCTCGCTATGTGCAGCCTCTGGGCGCCCCTGCCAGGCCCCAGGACCGTCAAGACAGTACCCAGGACGGAAAGCTGGGCCCTGGGAGTGGGTCGAGACCTGTTCGGCTAGACGTTAGAGTGACCTATCGCTGGAGTGACTTTTGGTGCGGGCCCAGCGGGGTCCCCCGATCGCTGAACGCGAAGCGGTAGCAGCGGCTTGAGCGCCTGGGTTTAGCCACCCCGCGTCCCCTTTTAGGTCGCCCAAAGATTACGATTGCCTCGGGTCGCTCTCACGTGCAGCCGACCTCTGGGGATCAACGCTTTGAAAGAGTCATGACGTCGGGGATCTGTGAACGGCGCGGTGGCCACACCGAGTGGTGAGTCGGTGGGTCGGGCACTGGGAGAGCGCCCACCCAGACAAGGCGACCGAGGAGATCTGCGCGGGTGTCGTGCGAGTGTGCTGGTGCAGTCCCCAGCCGGTTGTGCAGATCGACGTGCGTTTGGCTGGATACGTTCGCGTGTTCTTCAGCCCATGCGGCTTGGAACTGTTTCTCGCGTGTCGCGCCGCCGGTTCTGGCCCGCTCCGGCGCGACACGTGGAGCACCTCCCAGTCCCCAGGCGTCGGTGTCCTGAGCTTTCCCCAGCCAGCGCATCCCACGAAGCAGAGCGACGCACCAGCAGCTAGCAGGGCATGGCGTGTCGCAGGGACCGCCGCCTCGGCTGCCCTGCAAGTGCCGGGTCCGCCTTATCACTGATATTCGACGCGCGGTGGGCGCGGATTCGGGGTGGAATTCGCGTGGCTGCCGCTCGGATTCGACCAGGATTCGACGCGGACTCGACGTGCTCGACATGGGTTCGACGCGGACTCGACGCGGATAGCGCCGCGGCGAGGCAGACAAGGCCCCCCGGCAGACGCAGCATGATCAGAGTGAGGCGGCCGAACGGTCATTCATTGTCTTTTGGTGCGTGGCTGAATCAGGAATTCGTGGTGAGAGTTCTGCTTGTTGCGTCGTTGTTGTTGTTGTTGCTGCTGCTGCTGATGCTGTTGTTGTTGTTGTTGAACTCTCAGTTCTGAAAAGTAATTATTGTTGATCCCCCCCGTCCGGTGCACATTGTTTTTTTTTATTGAAGTCCCTTCCCGGGGCTCGCACCCTGTTCTTTATCAGGCAAAGTCTTGAGGGTCAAACTGTGTCGTTGGCCCTGGTTTACAACAACAACAACAACAACGGCTCCCGCCAGATACTTCCTCACAATTCATTGAAGAGTCGCGCTCTCGCTTGAAACTTCCTTGCAATTTACCACCGGATCGCGGCTCCCGCTCGGCACTTCCTTACAATGTATTGAAGAATCGCGCTCTCGCTTGGGAACTCCTCGCAACTTACCACCGAATCGAGGTTCCCGCATGACACTTTCTCACAATTTATTATGATGCCGCCCCTCGACACTCAGGAACCGCGCTCCCGCTACATATTGCCTGGCGGTTCAAGCAGAATTTACGCTTCAACGACCCGCCCGCTCGACCCGCCCGTCTGGGCCTGCCCGCCCAACCAGCCCGTTAGGGACTGCAGTCGCCGCTCGCTGCCCTTCGCCCGCCTTCGCTGCCCCTCGCTGCCCGTATTGGTTCCGCTGTCGCCTTCGCTCGCTGCCCTTCGTGGCCCCGTTGCTGCCCTCAGAGGCGTCGTCGCTGCCCATTGTGCCCCGCATTCTATGCCCTTCGTGGCCCGTGCTCGCAGTCGCCCGTCGTTGCCCCATACGCATGCCCTTCGTAGCCCCGCTGTCGCCCTTCGTGGCCCTCTCGATGCCCTCCGTGGCTGCTTTGCTGCCCTCAGTGGCCCCGCTGTCGCCCTTTGTGGTCCCATATACGAATGCCCGTAGTGGCCCCCGCTCGCTCGCGCCCGTCGTGGCCCCATTTGCATGCCCTTCGTGGCCCCGCTGTCGCCCTTCGTGGCCCCCTCTCTGCCCTTCGTGGTCCGTTTCTGCCCTCAGCGGCTCCGTCGCTGCCCTCTGTGGTCCAGGATTCATTGCCCTTCGTGGCCCCCGCTCGTTCGTGCCCGTCGTGGTCCCATACGCATGCCATCTCTCTGCCAGTCGAAATGTCCCTGTGCCGACACGTCAGGGCTCGTCGACTAGGCCTGAGGATGAGTGGGTACAGAGGCGTTGAGAAGCAGGCGCCCGTTCCGCCTGCGCCCACTCATCCTCTCTTGTTGCTCTTTTTCTCTCCCCCCAGCCCAGGCTCGCGAAGGGATAAAAGGGCTCTCCGCTGCCGTGCTGCTTGTGTCATGTCCGTATGCTGCTGCCTGGCCAGAGGTTGAGGCTGGAAGCCCAGGAGCCAGGACACGGGCATCAAATTAAGTGCCAGGTCTTGCCAGCATCGCTTGTCTCGGGCCTTCGATGTTTCGTTGTCCCTGTTTTTTCGGTTCGGTCCCTCGCTCGGCTCTGTCTGGGTCCTGGTCCGTCCCTCGCTTCTTTCGGCCCTTCCTTCGGGATCCTCGCTCGTCGTTTCGGCGCCACGGGCAGGAGTGTTCGGCAGACGATCACCCGCGCGCAAATCAAAAAATCAAAATGGCTCAAGGCCATTTCGGGAACTCTACCCCCCGACTCAAGTAGCCAGCGCCCGCCGCGCGCGTGGGGCCCTGGAGAGTGCCCCTGGACAGGGACCCCTGCTTCCCTTTCACTCACGTATAAGCATTTTGCCTCTGTACTCAGCTTACCGCACCTTCGGTAGCTTGCTTTTATTGGCGTCATGGCTCTCACGCTCGAGAATATGACGGGGTTGCTCGCAGGTCAGCTTCGGACTCATGTTGACCCGCTCAACGATCAGATCTCCAGCCTGACGGCCTCGATCGCATGCAACATGGGCGCAGTCAAGCGATTGGATCATGACCTGAGCAAGAGGTTGGACGAACAGCAGGTGGCCATGGCCGACAATCGCAGGGAGCTTTCAGCCATGCAACTCGGACAGGCCATCGCCATCGACAGTGACGACGAGCTGATGAGCGGGTCCACCCCGCCGCCCAGGCGTGCCCCTGTCCCGTCTCCGCCCGTTGTGGACGCTGAGCTCACCGCGAGGGTTCTGCAGCTCGAGGGGAAGCTCGCCTCCACTGCTGCCTCCAGCCCGGCTCCTGCTTCCAGTGATCCATGGTCGACGTTCTCGCGGCAGCGTGCACGTGGTGCCGTTCAGCCGCCCCCCAGTCGCGATGAGGGTCGTGGCCACGGGGAGCGCAGCAAGAAGAAGATCTGGGTTTGCGGCTTCCCGCGCAAGCTCATGCAGGCGACCTTGCAGTCGCACTTTTCCATTGCGAAGTCTAAGATGCCATCTCAGTACGCCGAGAAATGTCGAGCCCAAGCTCAGAACTACAAGTTCAGCTACACTATCCAGTTCGATGGCGAGGATGACGCGCTGCTCTTCCACTCCAAGTGCCGCGCGGACCCCTCTTTCCTGACTTGGACGGGCCCTCGCAACGCTGAAGTGGTACAGCTGCGAGTTGGCTGGGATCGGCCTCGGCCCATTCGACATCGCTCGTATGCTCTCGGACAGTGCTGGCAGATCGTGCTAGGTGCCTTGAGGGAGCAATGCCTCTGGCTCGAGTCCATGAAGTTGGGATCGAACCCTTTCACAGGTCACCTACATCTGTATAATTCTGCCAATGAGGAGGTGTGGGACTTGGTGAAGATTACCGAACGCGATACCAGCCAGGGCATGTTCACCGCTGTGCCGCTTGAGGACTGCCACGTCATCGGGCTTTCGAAGGAGTTCATCGACAGTATTTCGGAGCGGGTGTCTGCGATGGTGGCCAAGCGCCGCTAGGAGACAGTCTTGCGCGACATGCTGGGCATCGACGGGAACTCCCTCAGCGCCTGCGCGACTGGGCGACGAGCTGCTGGGGCAGCTGGAGGGTGTCGTGCAGCGAAGCGCGGGCGATGTGTGCAGCCTGGCCCGCCTTCTTCCCCTTCCTCTTCCTCGTCCTCATCGTCCTCCTCCCCCTCCTCCTCTGCGGGTCTCGAGCAGCTGGTTGCCCTTTATCCCATCTTTGGTGCCCCTTTAATTCCATCCGATCGTTCGCCTTTTAGAGTTCTGTATTCGCTTGGGGTGGTCTCGTGGAATTCGGAAGCGTTACTAGGTAGTATTTGGGCCAATCATAGGCGTCAGAGTCAGAAGTATTGCAAATGTCGGTCGTTGTTGGAAAGATTTGGCATCGTAAATACGCAGGAGACTCATGGGACGCCCGAAGACCTCAGCGCCCTTCGTCGTGATTTCCCTTCCCATACCCACCTCGGTACTTTCTGTAGCTCGCATTCGGCTGGAGGAGTTATTACATCCATCTCGAAGTCCTTCTTGAAGAATTTCACGGCTGCTCGGAACTCAGAGGTTGCCAGTGGCAGGGTCCTGGTCGCGAAACTCGTCGGGGAGAATGGAAACCTGAAGGTAGCCCATGTGCATATTGACCCTGGGATCTCCGTTCGCGCGGCCCATCGTGTTCTAGGACGGCTTCGCCGATCTGCGCCTGCAGCTGGCGATGGCCTATCGCGTCTTGCAGGCGATTGGAATTTCCTTGAATCTGACGAGTGCCGTCAGGCGACGGACGGCTCAGCCTCCCTCCCGGAGGATCACTTGTTGCGCTCCCGGTTTGCCAGCCTGCTTGGCGACTTCGTCGGGGCCCCGCAGCTCGAGGCCACTCGTAGGTCCGTCGCAGGGGATGTTGTGCTAAGTGTTTGTAGATTGGATCGTATCTACTGGTCTGCTCCCACGGCTGAAATCCCGGACTGGAAACCTCGGTCTAACGTGATCGGTTTGGCCCACAACCGCCTGGGGTGCTCGGATCATATCCCGATCTATGTGCAGACGTCTCCTGGGGCCCCTACTACTCCGACGCTGCCGCGTTGGATTACTGAACATCCTGACTTCGGGAAGACCGTGG